TATGTATGATTTTGTGGAGGTGTAATTTATTCCACACTATTTTATATACGATAATATATGAAATTCGAATAACTAAAATAAGTGTAACTAATGTGGAGAAGAACAATCTTTTTTTCAGTAAAATTTGAGAAAATTGTAGCTTCCTGTATTATTTATTTGAATTACTAAATTTGTATTTAACAACAATTATTTTTCGTTCGATGGAAAATTCTACAGACAAATTTACGGTACACCGATGGGTTCTCCAATCTCAGCTTTTGTCACAGATATTGTCATGGATAATCTGGAAACTGAATGTTTAAGAGACTTAGAAAAAAAAATTGTGTTCCGGTGTTCTATTTTAGGTATGTGGATGACACATAATATTAGCTCTTAAAAAAGAACATGTTACTATGGTTTTTGATATTTTTAACTCTCTCTCTTCTCAAATCAAAAACTGCAATTTACCGTAGAAAAAGAAAAGGAAAATTCCTTAATTTTCTAGACTTAAAGCTTTTTAGAGATAACAATAAAAAATATACACATTATAAACACCTTGAAGTTATGCACTTAAAGTTTGGAGTTATATGCATGGCATAAAAATCGTAGTGATAACAATATTGTAAACCTCTCGGCTCTCGTTCATGACACAATTTCCCTGTTTATTTTATAGTGATTTTTGGCAGTCTCGCGTTTTAAATGCGATCACGAACGCACTAAAAGAATAGTTTGTGATACTGGAACATTTAGTGATACTTTCGTGCGTGTTTAGGACTCGCGGGTTCGTTTCATAAAGTGACGCTTTATGCCTTTGCTTCTGTCACAAATATACTTATTTTCTTTTGCATTTTGTCTTTTTCTCAAATTTCCTCAAATTGAACGAAAACTCCATAATTCTAAAAATATTTTATCAAATTCAATAATTCATTTTTTCACTTCTACTAATAGTAGTAACATTTTGACAAAGTTTCGAGAAAATTCATTTTTTTGACCTGGACAGTTGTGGAATTTTGCGCCTTATGTATTTTTACTTTGCTCGATTGCTATTGTTACAAACTTGGTCGGTTATCCCAAAAATTATTAGTTGTAGTAATAATAATAATTATTAATCTTTATTATTTTATTTAATATTTAATAGTTATAGAATCTATTAGGCTTCTTAAAACTCTTTGGTTTAAAGTTGTCATTTATTTCAAATGAAATTTATAACTTATCTATAAATTGAAGTTATATAGACACAATATTTTAGAAATCCCTCTTCAGATATTATATTTAATACAGTGTCATTTTCTCGCTCTAAATCTTCTCCAGTTCCAAAGTTCTTTTTCCTCGCTAAGTATTAAAATCCCCTTCTCTTGATTTACAATTCTGTATAAGGAAAGGTACTTTATCTTTTCAATAGTCTTTATATGTATATAAATTGTTACAATTGTTTAAAGGTGTAAGAAGTTAACAAGTTGTTACAATTCTTGTTAAAACTGAGTGTCTATAATTTTATATATTTATAAACTTTTGAATAATGTTAAAAAAGTGTTTTTTTACAGTGTCAACTTTAATTTTCAATGTAAGGGTAAAAATTCAGGTGAAGAGTAATTAGTTTTTCTTTTTTAGAAAATTAAATTGAGAAGAAATAAAAAATTTCTTGAAATCTAAATATTTTTTACAAAATTGTCCATTTATTAGCTTTTTAAGAGCAAAACTTAAAAGCTAACGTTTTGATATTGAAATGTGTCAAAATCATGAGAGACGCCATTTGCAGAAAAAGGAAAGATAGTTTGCGCATGTACTACTGTGAAACTTTTTGCAATACTTGATTGTACGGGCGACTATCCATAAGTTTAACATATTTATATGGCTACGGGTAACATCCTCGATAGTAAAATATTGATAGAAAGTTATAGTCGACTGACTTTCTGGTTTCCGATTATTTAAAGTTTGCTGATTCAAATCATTTAAAATTTTATTTGACTCAGATTCAGAGAGTAAGTTTTAATTCAGATGCTCTTTTGTACTGATTGCAACATTTTCATAAAATGATCTAAATACCACAATTATTGTTGCTACTAAATAATAATTATTTACTGCACAAAAGCCAGCGAAATATTGACGTATATATCTTTAATTAAGTTAAAACTTTTTCAATTTAATCTAATTTTCCACTGTTGATTTCAGTCAATAAAATTTCTAAATTTCTGATTTTCCAAAGTTGGAATTAATTAACTTTACATTGGATAACTTTATAGGGATGAATATATGAACATCAGAGGTAAATATAGGGAGGAAGCAAGTTCTTTGTGTAAATTTTTTTTTAATTGACTGTTTTAATTCGATATTTGCTATAAACATTTATAATTTAATAACGTTTATATAAAAAAACAAGGTATACTTTTTTTGAGCGCTTAGCTTAAGCTAAGAAGTATAAAAAATCATTTTTTCCTATATTAAAATAACACTTTTTTAGACAATTGTCCTATTTAAAATTATGAACTATGAAGCTTGAATTAAGTTTGAATATCTTCGACAAAAAAAGCTTTTTGGGTAGTAAAACTTGAAAAAAATTCAAAAGTATATTGACACAGCTGAATAGTTTAAAAGATAAAATGTAATTTTTTTAATGAGGGAAATAAAGAAAAAATTGCACTTTTAGTTCAAAAATTATTCCGGTTGATGGTTATATTTTATGCCGTAATTTATAATCTCTATAGTTTTTTATTTTTCTCGAGTTTCTTTAATTTAAATATAACTAAAGAGTAATTGTTAATATATAGAAATTCAATTGAAAATATTTGTGGAATATAAAAAAATGTTGAAATCTAGTTCTATAGTGATACGTGACGGCCTGAAATGAAGTGATCCTCTTCTCTATCATGTTACACTTCGTCACATTTGATCTAGTCCATTCAGTGCCGCTGCATACGTGACTTCAAGTGTGAATGTTATCAAATTTGAGCATTGTCTTTTTCAAAAAAAATTTATTATTTTTTTAAAATTATTCATAACCATTTATATGGTTTTTAAATTATATATGTTGCAATTATAATGCAGCATCAAGTATTAGTTATATATTTTACAAAATTTGTTTTTAATTTGCTAAATGAAAAATTGCTTTTAAATTAATCAAACTAAAAACCTTGTTTCGAGAAAAAATTCTAAAATCAGTTTAAATATCAATGAAGCAAATGTATTTTATATTGTACTTGTTTTTGGTACAAAATTATATCCGAAAACATTTCACTGAAGGGAAGCGTCGATTTCTGTTGTTTACAATCTTCTACCAATTTTATCAGTTAAAGCATTTAAAAATGTTTTCTATAATTTTTTATTTTTAAAAATTTTTAACCCTTGGAGAACGCTTGAGATCTCTCAGACGACATGTTTTTTTTAATAAAAAGCATTTTATCTATATTTATAAATTAGTAAGAAATTTGAAGTCTGGACTTATTTTACAGCGTTTAGACTATATTTAAAAAAATTTGTTGTTCTGTTAGTTTAACAAAATTCAGTTATACATTTTTCAAATACTTGTGATTATTATTATTCTTGGGATAAAAATATAAAGAAATTCATGAGGAAGATTGATGGCAAGAACTGTGTAATCAAGCCAGAATGGTTTATATTTTTTGACCTCGAGAAATCTAGAATTTTACATTGTACATTTTGTGATAACCCTTTTTAAGAAATTTGAAACTTTCATGTAATGTTCAGCGAACCTTCGCGTTACACATTGAAAAACATCGGGCATTTAAAGAATTGCTTCCAACTTTCACGAGCTTCACAAATAAATTAATGATAATTGAAGTTTGATGTCAAGGTAATTTTAACTTTTAGGAAAATTTCGATGCTGTATGAGTTGAAAAATCATCATCACTTCACGATCACTAAAAATTCACTGCAAAACTTTGGAATAAGTAAGGTTTTTCGGATGCGACGGATCCTAATACATAGTCCGAGCGTACTTCTAGGACAATACTGATCGTATAGGGTAGTTTTAGACGTCAACAATAAGGAAAATATAAACTGCGATGAACGCAATAAATGACTTTGTTATTAACAACTTACGAACATGAACCTAAAGATTAGAAAAATTTGTTAAATTGTTGCCGACAAGATTTCGATATGATTTTTTTGCACCGACTCATAAGTGGATTTGTTTGTTGCTATTCACTGTTATCACTGTCGTTAATAAAAATTCCTATTGAAGATCTGCTTGATATTACTCTTTATTTTCTGTAGACTTCCATAGAACCCCCAAAGCACCTAAACTTACAGCATTAATCTTCTTTTAAATATAAAAAGATGTAATACAATAACTTTTCCTAAAAGCAAAAATTATTTTCAACATAATAACTTGATTATGGTACTGAGTTTGTTTCTAGTTTTCTGAGTTTGTTTCATTCGATCCGTGATCTTGGTGCTACTCTGGACTCTACATTTGATTTCAAAACTCACATTTTTAATGTTGTCAACAATGCTCATGAGTTTTGGGTATGATCACCAGAAGTGCTTCTAGTTTCACAATTATATTGTTGCTCTAAATGTTTTGTACTTTTCTCTTGTCAGAACAATTATAGAATTTGCGTCTTTAATATGGTCACCCTATCTAGACATTCATATGGATTTACTTGAAAGAGCAAACAACAAATTCATATATGCGATTTGTTGCGAAACGATTAGGGTTGTCTTAATTTTTTTAGTCACGACTATTAGAATGATTCTAGGTACTCCATTACACAAGATTTCTATATACTGATTTACTTTTTTTAAAAATAATAAACGGGTTTATGAATTGCCCTCCAATTCTGCATTACATAGACTTATTTTTAGATTTTAATAATGCACCATCCTAGATTTATTTTTTATGTTATTATATGTAAACAGTCATTAGCGTTTGGGAGTCCTAACTGTAGGTTAACTTATCTAAATAAATAAATTGATTTATTAGGTATGTAATAGGTGAGTAATTGTTCCGTAACAAAGTATAAGATTTCGAACAAATAAAAACCTTTGAAAAGGATTGTTACCTGGATTTTGTCGCTTCTCGTGACTGGTCCCAAGTATCGCATTAACGCTGAACTTGAGGTGAGGTTTCTCCTTGTCCTGCACCCTTCGGCACCTCGAATTTGTACATTGTTCATCCCCACAAGTGCAAGTCTCCTTTTCTATCCTACTAAATGTGTCAGTCTCTTGATCCATGTGCAACCCTAATTCATCCGACCTTCGTTCAAACTGTCCGTGCCCGGGCATTGTCAGTCTTTCTCGATTATTCCGCAACACATCATTCTGCATACTACTAATTAAGTCCATTGGTATTTGATCCTCATCAATCGAATCATTTGAAACTCTCTCAGATAATTTCTCTATCGCACTCAAACGATCGACAGCACTTTGACTTTCCGCTTGATCATTCTCCAAATCCATAATGACACTCTGCTTATCCTTGTCTTGAAAAGCGATTATTTGCTCATATTCGTTTATTCTCGATCCTCGGTAGTGTTTCTCGATTCGGTTCCTTTCAATGTCCATCGAAGAGTCCACGGTTCGAATAATCACTCCCGATTCTTTCTCCCGTCTGGACATTAGAGCCCAACCGAGAGTTATTCGAGTCAAGTCTGCGCTCGAACCCCTTGACCTGAGAAGATTGTCCACCGTGAAAGATGGCGAAGTCATATCGTTTTGGGTGAGATTCTTCAGCATTGCTGAAGCTGGAGGAAACATCACTTAATTCATTGTCTACAAGTTGCCTATTCGCGTAGGCAATTGTAAATTAGTAAATTAGTACTAATAGTCTAAAAGGATGTATGGATTGTATGAATTTGAAAAACGTGGAAAAATGCAACCAACAAGCACTACTAAAATAATTCGTCACTTGTTTCACTAAATTATCAAGACACGTTTTGCACTTATCACACGGCATGCACAGCGATAATATACCTCTGCATATTAGCGAGGAAATAGATTTGCGAGTTAGTTTCGGCACGAGCAACAATTCAACTAATGTATGGCAATTGGACACCACAATGTGAATGTGCAACCCTCGAATGAAAGCCTGCAAAGACGTAGGTGGGTTCAAACCCCCTCCCTCCTCAGCATCCGTGAAGTGTGCTTAACGTGCAGTCTATTCCCCCTCTCTTTAACTGTAGTTCGCTTTCCCTTTCTCTACCTTCATAGGTGAGATAATGCGGACTATAAGTCGAGCAATTCGGGGTTTGGCTGGCTTGGTAATGCCGTAATAAAATCATACTCCTATCAAACGACGCTGCGCACCCCTTTAAAAGGAAAAGCTGGAGGGGTAAAAAAGCTCAGAGACTCACATTCCTTTAGTCAACGATTGGGTTTTATTTGACGAAGCCACCTTCCCGTTGGCCAATCAGAGGAACAGAGGAAGATACTGGCCACGCCCTGCGACCCTAGGCAGTAGGGGCGTTCGCTGCACCCTTATCAACTTTATTATCTTCACTAGCTATATACGTAATTCCACCTAGATCGTTTCCTGGTATGTGATTTTCTTGTAAGTATACACGTATTATCAGCGCATTCACATTTGGTCATAGCACGTCAGATCAGAACATTACAAACTGTTAGCAGTGATTTCGCAAGCAATGAAAATCATAAACGAAACTCTAAAACTCAATAAGTGTCTCACATTCTTTCGCATATAATGTTCCTTTATCAGTAGCTAAAATATTTCAGACACACAGTGGGCCAGGATCGAAAAAAGAGGCCAAAAGTAAATATTTTTTTAGAGCTTCAAACAATTTATTGTAAAGTTTGATACCTTAAAATAACTATATACAAAATGCCAATCGTCTTAGGATTTATATTATTATATTAACTATAGCAAATGTTGTATTCAATTTATTATTATTATGAAAATGACAACATTTTTTATTTCCAAATACAAATTTTTGAATAATTTCATAATCAACAAAAATTTTAATAAATTTTCTCGAGAGATTTCAATTATTTCTTTATACAGTAAAATCTTTGCAAATATTCATTATTTTCAATAAAAAATTTCATGAAAGATGATTAATTTAATTTAATTTAATTAATTAAGATTAATTCAATTTTTTTCTTAATTCGTTTCAAAAATTTCACGAAAGAATTCAATTATTTTCTAAAATTTTAATAAATCCTACGAAACAATTCAATTTTTTTTATAAATATTAAAATTCTTTGCAAAAATTCAATTGTTTTCATAAAAATTATGGATAAAATTTCTCGAAAGAATTCAATTATTATTTTCTAAAAATTTTATAAATCCTTCAAAACAATTCAATTATTTCTTTAAATAATAAAATTTTTGCAAAAATTAATTATTTTCTATAAAATTTCACGAAAAAATTCAATTATTTTCCAAAATTTTTATAAATCCTTCGAAACAATTCATTTTTTTTTACAAATTATAGGTAAAATTTCTCAAAAGAATTTAATTATTTTCTAAAATTTTTATAAATCCTTCAAAACAATTCAATGATTTCTTTAAATAATAAAATTTTTATACAAAAATTAATTATTTACTAAAATTATAGTAAATCCTTCAAATTAATTCAATTATTTTCATAAATAGTAAAATTCTTTGCAAAAATGTAATTATTGTGAAAAAATACAATAACTCTATACTATTTTCAAAAAAAAACATTTTAAAAATTCTTCAAAAGAATTTAATTATTTTCAAAAAATCTAATAAAATTATTTACAAAAGTTTAACTTTCTATCAATATTTTTAACAAAATTTTAATAGTGCGAAGTTATTAATTACAATTATTAACAAAATCAATTATTTTCAATAAATTAAAAAAAATTTTTTGAAAGAATTTAATTATTTTCTATATTTTAATAAAATTCCTTAAATGAATTGAATTATTTTTGAAAATTGTAATAAAATTTTCAGAAGAATTTAATTTTTTTTTTAATTTTTAAAAGTTCAATAATAAAATCTTTAATTTCAATTATTAAGAAACATGATTATTTCAACAAAACTTGAAATAAATTGTTCATAAAGTTGAATTACTTTTAAAATTTTCAATTAAAATTATTTAAGAAACTCCATAATTAAAAAAAAATTCAAAGAAACTTTTCAAAAGAATTTAATTTAGGATTTTTAAAAATTTTAATCAGAGTTTTCGGAGCCGCTGATTACGAATTTGAAGTCAGATTTAAAAAATTCAAAATGGCATATTTATATCAAGTTTTTTAAAATTTATATTTAATATCAATTATCAATTTAATATCAAGATTCATGAAAATTGAATAATTTTCTTTAATTTGATGTCTTCCATTTTGAATTTTTTAAAACTGACTTAATATTCGCAATCAGCGACTCTAAAAACCCCCTGATATTAAGTTTCATGAAAATTTATTAAATTTTTTAATTTAATGTCCGCCATATTGGATCTACCATTTTGAATTTTTTAAATCTGACTTAATATTTGTAATCAGCGACTCAAAAAACCCCCTGATATTAAGTTTCATGAAAAGTGAATGATTTTTTAAATTTTATGTCCGCCATATTGGATCCGCCATTTTGAATTTTTTTAAAATCTGACTTCATATTCGTAATCAGCGATCCCAAAAACAATAGGCACTATAATTAGTTGAAATAAATGTCACTCTTTTTGAGAATTATCAATTTTGTCCAAAAAACTAGCGATTCTGACCCTCTGTGCATCAGTAGGCTTAAATATTATATCAATTTCTAGAAGAAAGAGATTAATCTTTCCTCTAAAAATTGCTAATATTTGAGAAATAAGACTTTTTGCACATATGACTTTTTTATAGCAGTTAAATGAGAACCACATCTGGTGGAGTCTTTTGTTTCGACATTATCTCAATATTCAACCCCAAATATGATCCCAACTTGGAGCGGATAAACCTATAAATAATACGTCCATAACAATTATTCCAATTTATTGAAACTGTGATCCTACTACGACTATTACCAAATTTTCCCTCTGCATAACAATATCATATACCTATTGTTGGATTTTCTAAAGGTATAATTATTTTTATTATTTTATTTATAAATTATAATTATTTTTATAAATATTTTTAAATAAATATTTTATAAACTTGAAAATTACTTAAAACAATTTTTGACATCATATAAAACAAACTTGGTGTCACCTAAACAGTAAATAAAACATTAGAAAAGAAAATAGAAAAATAAAAAAACTTTTTTAAAATCTTTAGCCATACTCATTATAACCATGGCTGAATAATTTAAAAATATTTTCTGTCAATTTGCAAATGAATATTTAATAAAATCGGAATTTCATTATAATATTTAATTCAAGTTACTAGATATACATAAGCAAACATTAACCTTTTTATAACTTTGCCTGCAAATGGAGGAACCTGGAGAAAAATAATTTTTTATGTTGAATTGAGGTAAAACCAATTTGAGATCTATATTTGACAAGAGAAGAAATATTGATCTGACTTGCATTATTGAATATTCATTATGACATTGAAGTGGTGTGGACCAAATCATCGATAGATATGCCAGAACATGTTAGTAGATTAGATTTCGTATTAAGATGGATTAAAGTTTTTTTTTTGTGAATATAATTGGTATTGGTAATGATACTGTTTTCCATATTATAATATTTTTATACAATCTGATCATATTAGTGACAATCACCTTTTCTTTTCGTTCAACAATTACATAATCATATTTTTCAATTACCTAGGTTGACGGTATTATAATTTAAACTAATATTGAAGTTTCTTATCAATAGTTAAAGCTTTAATATAGTTTAAAATTTTAATTGAGGGAAATTGGAGTCGACTAAAATTTGATTAGATTAATTTGATTGATAAAGTTAAATTTAGTAACAAAATTGATAGTAAAACAAGCGGTGAAGTGGTTTTTAGTATGGCACAAAACTAAAAGAAGTATCCTAATAGTAGGAAGCTTTAAAAACAGTAGTAAAAAGGTATATGCGAGTGCGAATCCTACCGCGTAGGTTTAGTTCAAGTATTTGAATCCTGTTAGTTTTAATTACATTTAAAAAATTAAATTAAAGTTTTAAGTGCTTAAATTCTTTATGTTAAAACAACGATTTCTACTAAAGCGAAGCACAAAGTTAAAATCCTCGTGATTTATATAGAAATATAAATTTCATTGCACTAATTACAAAGCAAAAGTCAGTTTTTATAATAATTATAGTCTTTTTCATATTATAAATTATAACATCATAAAATAAGCTCATCGTTTGAAGTCTTTTGGAAAAAGATTTGTTTTTCGTGCGTTCGTTTTTTCTTCTCTTTTAGCATATCAAAAACATTGTTAATTATAAGTTCAGAACAATAATGTTGTCATCATCTGTTGTCTAATTCGTTTCATAAGGATGAAAAAGCAATTATCTATAGCAGATAATATAATGTTTCAGAAGCAGTTATTTCCCCTTGTGCAATATCTTCCTCGCCGTCAGTATTGGATTACTGAAGAGGTCTCACCGCTCACTTCACCAAATGAATTGCCATGTCTTTTTAATTCCTCCACACCAAACAATTATGCCTCATTTAAAATTAAGGTCCATCGAAAAATTTCAAAATTTCAATTCTAATCTAATCCACTTACAAGTGTAAATTATTATAATCATATAATATAATTATAAATTCAACAACAAACAAAATAGTGAAACAAAACAATTTCATTAATTGTGAAATGTTTATGAAAAAGATTCAAATTCAATGTTTAAAGAAATCTTTTAAAATCTTTCCGCAACATTTTTTTTATTCGTATATTTATTAAAATTTCCCTCCAGTATCTGTAGAAAATTGTTTAGAATTATTTAAAAAGTAAAAAAATGATTGCAGTATAATCTTACAGAGCAATATTAAAGCAATATTGTTGCAATATGTCGCAGTGTTTGAGTAATATACGCTTCGATTTATGCTTTGTTTTAAACACAATACATATTACATACGTATAAAGGGTCATTCAAGCTGACATTAACATCCACTAAACTATCGTAGATATTTCAGTGATACATATATAGCATCATTCTGTGTTATATCACTGACATAACACTTATGATTCTTTATTAGAGAATGAAAAGTGCCAATCAATTCGTACCAATACAAATTTCAGTATAATGCGCAATGCAGGCCAAAGCACGAACAAAAAAAAATATTTCTATTGTTAAAAAGTACATTTCATGTGCAATACATTTTTACCAATCAGAAACAATAAAAAAAATGTATTCAAATAATATATATACCATTTTCGGAAAATTGGAAATATG